AACAACATCTAACCCTAATTCTTTCCGGACAGTTGAAGAGCTAAAGACTTAAAGGTACCTGCTAGAAGGGCGGGAGCAGAGAGACGGGATTCTGCCGGTTTTGGTTTCTTAGACGTACGAAACCGGGAGAGGGACATGCTTAGATGGGAAGTAATGTGGATGGCGCATGCCCATAAATGGCACCTACTTCAAACACTTATGAAAGTAAGGGCAAAACCCCGAATCCAACAGATCCATCCCAAAAAAAAATAATAATAAATAATAATTTTTTTAAAATTATAAATTAGATAAATTATTTAATTTTTAACGTATAATATCAATTTTTTTACTAAAAATATTGATGTGGTAAATAAAATCTGTTAAAAAATAAATAATTTATTTTCATTAATAATTTAAAAAGATAACTTATTTTTATATTTTTTTTAGGGATGAATTTGATCATACTCCTATTTGAGGGGTGAAGTTGAGGATGTTGCTTAAAAGTGAGGGCAATTAACACCTGAAGTTACGAAAAGGTTGCAGTTAAGTTTCGTTTAACAGTACTTCAAATATCAGTTTATTTAAAAATACAAATTTATATAAATTTTAATTAATCTTTTCATATATTTTAATTAATTTTAATTAATTTTTATATATTTTTAGATAATAAAAAACAAAAATCATAATTATTGTATAACACAAACAAATAAAGCCTGTGTTGTATTATTTTAGAAAAGAGCAAACCTAATTAAAAAGACCAATGTTATTGCTTGAGTCAAACGATTAAATAGATAAGATAGAAAAAAGTCTAATCTCTTCTTCCAAACAAAGAATATGTCAAAAATGATAATACCCTAAGGTTATCACCTTATAATTAATTCTAAGAAATGAACCCAACCAAGCAAATAAAATACCATTTCGTACCAATTGTATTAGTTTTTCAACTAATCTGAAATGGTATAAGTTTAAATCTATTTTAGTTAGATTTTGATCATTTTCATCAAATTTCAATGTACCAATATTTTATGCACCCACCAATCCATCGAAATTAAGCCTTTTCTCAATTTTTTTTTTAGAAAAAGAAAAAAAAAAAGGCAAATTAGCCCCTTTACTCAGTGAATGGTGGCAAATCAGCCTCTCAGCCAAAAATAGACACAAATCAACCCCTTAATTCATTGTATAGTTGCAAATCCACCGTTTTTGATTTGCAACGAAAAGGTGCTTTTGGTGGTATATATTGCTTATATGACAATTAAGTGGCATTTTTTATCTATATCAGTGTTGAGTTGATATTAAATTGGTAATTTATATTAAGATTTTTTCTTTAAAGTGTATTTATTAAATATTTTTATTATTAATTTATATAAAAAATTATAAAAATAAATTTTATGTTTAATATTAATATTATATAAAATACTTTAATTAGATAGTCTATAGAATTAAAATAAATTTTTTATACAATAAGCACAATATATGTTTTAAACTGCATCACTTAAATTTATTAAATTTACAAAAATTATTTAAAATATATATATAATTTATCACTACCTAAAATGACCAAAACTATAATTATTACAACATAAAACATACCATTATACTGATAGCTTAATACCTTATATTCACATAAGTTATTTCTCTTAGTTCTTTGCCTAAAATAAATTTAAGGAGAAGAAATTATTGCATACTCATAAGAAATTAGTGTAAATTTATAGTCACTATCTACTTTAATTATTTACTCATTCTATTTAATTTTAGTAGATCTAATTTTTTATCTAATAAATAAGAATGTAATAATTAATTGATAAGATTTAATATTTATTTTTAATTAATAATTATTTTAATAAATCTTCTTATGTAATATATGTTGTAATTATCTTTTTCAAATAAAGATAAAGTATAAAAAATGTATTATATGGCATCTTAAAATAAATAAGTAAATTTAAATACCCTAAATTAAAAATTAAATATATTAAAATTTAATTAATATTTCATCTGTTACAAAATATCTATTTTTTTTTATAAAAATATATATTTATAACGATAGATCTAAAATGGTATATGAAAAATTTTGATATCTAATATGTATCATTTTACTAACAAAATCGATACGTATATCAGTACGACTTCTTTGCAACCAAGTATTATTGTTATTGGGCTTAAGTTATGTTTGATTTGGTTGATTTTATTAGCTTATAACATTTTTTTCCCATTAACAACTTTGATTAAGAATTTTTGAAAACATTAACTATAAACTGATTTTAAACTAATATCAACTATTAACTTTTAAGAATAACTAGACCAATTAGAGCCTAAGTATCTATCCATCCCAACGCATAAGAGTATAAGACATTACTGGTGGGAAGATAAAAAGTAATGAATAATTATATGATTAAATAATTAAGAAAACTAATATAGAGATAACATTTTTTATATAATTTTTATATATTATTAAATAATTAGATGTACATGATATCATAGATTCAAAATAAAAAAAATTAATTATTTAAATGATATATAAGATTATATCAAAATATAGTATAAAAAATTGTCTCTAAATAAATAAAAATAAGTGGGTTACATTGAGAATATAAAAAAATTTAGGGCAAGGAAACAAATTATCCTAAAATTTAAGCGGCGTGCAAATCAATACTAATTTGGCTGGATGCGTGGCATCCATCTGCTTTGTTCTCTTTCTACAACAAACCGCAAAGTCTTCCATAATTTTCCGAGCATCGTAGCCGGCGGCATATCATCACATCAGGAGAGAATGAAGCTGAGATTGAGATGTCTTGAATCGAAACAAACCCTAAGAATCCAACTGCCGACTCCATATACTCTCCATCAGCTTCAACAAACCCTTTCCCTCTCACTTTCCCCTTCCCCTCCTTCGCCGTCTTCCCTCCGTTTCTCCCTCAACGCTAGGGACGAACTTTCCCCGTCATCATCCGACGCGTCACTCGAGTCCCTTGGTGTTACCGCTGGTGACCTCGTCTACTTTTCCCTCAACCCTAATGCTTTTTCCCCTAATCCTGAAGCCCTAGTTCAAGGGTCGCGTCAGATGCACGAACCCTGCACCAGTCGA